AAGACTATTTCATGGTTTGGATTAGGTGAGAGGGTGGTGGTTGGTTTTGTTGATGTCTTTTTTTTTCTCCCTTCTGAAGAAATCAGGTAAACAAATAAAGTTCTCTGCACAAGCCTAGAAAATAACAATTCTTCTGCTCCCCCACTGGCACATATTATAATCTACATAATTTGCTTTCAGTAATGCCTCTAGGGTTTATGACATATAAACTCCTAGTTCTTCCATTTGCCAAATGCTGGTATCCCAGAGAAGACTCACAGATATTTAAATTAATTACTCAGCTGAAATTTAAATTAGTTACTCAGCTGAAATATTTCTCAAGTAACAAGTTCAAGACTTGGACTAATTTATGCTTCTCTTGTCCACCTCCCACTCAGTATTCAGATTATGTTTGTGTTACATTCATTGGTCACGATGCTTTGAAAGAACCTCAGAAGAAAATGCATTATTGGGTATTACTGTCTCCTGCCCACTGGAACCCTGTATGTTCAGGTAGAGTCAAACTCCTGCATGGTCTGACCTGCATGGTCAGACTGTTTTAGTACTTTCTTATCTCATTAGCATTACCTAGGATTTATATTACTTATAGTTTATATTACTTGTATGTATATATATGTAATTTATATTAGCCTGGAGAAAAGGAAGTGCAGGGGAGCCTTGTCCTTCTCTACAACTACCTGAAAGGAGGTTGTGGCAAGGTGTACATCTGCCTCTTTTCCCAAATAACAAGTGACAGGATGAGGAAGTGGCCTTCAGTGTTGCCAGAGGAGGTTTAGTTTGGATATTACGAGAAAAGATCTTCACCAATGTTGTCAAGCATTGGAACAGGCTGCCCAGGGAAGTTGTTTTGTCACCATCCCCAAAGGCATTTAAGATGTGTGCAGCTGTAGGAACATGGTTTTGTGGTGGACTTGACATTGCTGGGTTAATAGTCTGACTCAATGATCTTAGAAATCTTTACATCTTTTCAAACCTAAATGGTTCTGTGATCCTGTGGCTCAGTGTTAAACCTATATTATGCATATACACATCTGTTCTCTGTTTCAAAAAATTTAGAAGGCCTTTGGCTTCTGCTGCCATGAAGAATATGAATTTACAGATTTTTAGAAGAGACAGAAACACCAAGGTGAAATTACTTTGCTGTCCCAGCCTCAGGCTTCACAATTTTATGGAGTATTTCCTTCACCAAAGGTAACAAGTTTTCTTCTTACTCACCTTAACTAGAATGAGAAATCTTCTTATCACATCTCAGTTTTTTATTTAAACTGGTCATAAACTATTAATTTCAGAAGAAACTATCTTTGCATATAAAATTTTAGACAGATGGACATCCCACCTGGAAAGCAAACGCCTGTTGTGGGATTGAGAGCACATAGATAGCAAAGTAGATGAATAGAGGCAGCATGAACCCACAAATGTTGCTAGGACTCTATTTCAGAGCTATGAAATACTCACATATGGTACTCAGCATCACTGACAGCTAGGGAGTGTTTAATACCTCCAAAACACAGACACTTTCACTTTTCAAAGTATCTTTCACTTCATTATTAGTTATTCACACACAGTAACAACTAAGTTGTTACAATTACAGTTCTGATCCATTGCTCTGCACTCCACAGGCCTGGCAAGAAAGAGCCTGAGTTCCCCTGCATAGAAAAGTTGGTCCAAAAAGGGTGTGGGAGAAGAGCAAAGAACTGATCATGCAGAAAAAAGAGCTACAGGGTGCTGAGTACTAATTTGTTTCCTTCTCTCTCCCTCCTTTTCCTATTGCTTCCTTTGGAAGGGATGATATGCTCTATGCAAGATAATGAGCAACTTCAAAGAGGGAAAAACCCACCCAAGCTATAAACAAAGAGATTAAATAGAAAATTAAAAAAGAAGGAATAACAAATGATCTCCTGGAAAAATATTCCCCATCAAACCTACTGAGAAACACAATCTTGTAGTCTAGTTACAGCTAACCACTCTATCCTTAAGTAAAAAATAAATCAGCGTGTTCTGATACTGTTGTAGAAGCAAAAATTCTGGACAAAAATACACGTATAAAACAGAGAAGACTCCCATCAATAGAAGGGAGAGGAGCAACACAAAAAACTGTTCTTTACAATTTTGCATTTGTAATTTTGGGATGAACACATTATGTTAAAAATATCATAATGCAATTTGGAGAAGAAATACTATTCTTCCTTTATCAAAAAATATTTTCTATCTTTGGAAAATAATATATGCATCTGAAAATGATTCTATTCCAAATAGCCAATATACACCTATGTCTCCATGTGTTTGGTTAATCTGTCCAAATGTTGTCACTGACAGGAAGAGTAATGTTAAACACAACTAAACATCATTAAGTAACACCAGCCATAACAAACTAGAAAATATATCTATTTTTAAAAACTATTATCTATAAGCACATGATTAAAAACAAGCAACCCAAACACCCTAAACAGAAACACCCTGTTACACAAGCTGAAAATGAGAACTTGTTTCCCCAAGAAAACCATTAATGCTGAAAAGAATGCAATTCATGGTGTGTAAAACCAGGTGACACCCAGCTTTGCTGAAACATTTCCTCAAAGTGACAGTCAAATACAAAGAAGGTGTACTGTATTATACAGGTATTATACAGGTATTATACAGGTATTATACAGGTATGATAGCACCTTACCACTTTTTGATTTCTCCAACAGACCAGAATAACACCAGCCATACACCTCTCTGCATTCAGAAACCACATGTGAGAAGTTAGGGCTAGTATTTGATCCATTACCTTAATTATAGCTGATCACCTGCATATTTCATGCTGGCTTGTAATTCATGGGCAGGACCTATAAAAGACCATGTTGCACTTTGGTTTTTGTTGCTTTGTGATTTTTGCTTATGTGACCTGAGATTCAGACAGAAAGGACTTGACAGAATCACTTTAAGATAAAAAACTCCTGGTTTCTCATTTATTTGTTGGCAATCAGACTAAAAATGGACAATTGCTATTGTAGGGTTTGGGCACCATTAGTTATAATCCTCTCCCACATATTCTCAGCAGTACAGTGACATATGTACTACACTGAAGCTCAACAGTAAAATTGTTAGTAATCACTGGGAGTAGCTGTAGTCATGGCACAATGCTTGGAATTAGGGGACTGAATTTTGGTGGGCATAAATGGAGCAGCTTAATAAAGGAAGCTGCCAGTGAAATATTGTAATTCTCCAAACTGAAACAATGATGCAGTTATTCTGCTGTAACATTGGCAACTGCAGAGCTATTGGAGATTTGATGCATTGAATGGAGAATGTCCGGGTAGAGGTGAATATTGGAAGAGTGAAAAATCAGATAAAATATTGGAAGAGTGAAAAATCAGATAAAGAAATATGTCCCAACTTGAATTTTCTGAGCAAGTCTCTCTTGTCCAAAAGCCCTAATCGTGTAACCAAGCAAAACTATTATTTGTGGTTTCCCAGAAACTGGGGAGCCAGAACACATCTGATTATTTTAACTAAACATTAACATCAAAGATAGCTATTTATTTGTAACAGTTCTAAACAGAACAACTTGAAAGAATTAATTAATGCTGAAATAGTTTTACAAGTTCTCTAGTACACATTTTCTCAAAGAATGAAAACAAGGAAATGCATTTTATTCTTGCCTGTGAAGTTTGTAGGTCCGTTCTGGGTGACACTTAAGTGATAAGTGTGAAGAATTTGCCAAGATTACTATAATTCCTCTTGCTTTAAAAAGAAAGTCAAGCCAGTGTGATTCATTGTTTTTTATAAAATAGAGTTTTATATTCTTTTTCCTTCT